TGAAATTAATATCAAATTTATCTTGCTTAATAAAAATAATAATCAAATTTACCTTAAATGCCCTCAATGTTCGGACATGTTTTGTCAAGCCTAAGAAACCAAACTATCACCCTCTGGCCTTACCTGCATTTTGTTTCCTTTCCCTGGATTCATACGGATTTGTACAATTTCCCATTTTTCTATTAAATTAGTATTTGTTCTCCGGTAAATATTTGTTTAGAGATTTTTTAAAATTATTTATTATTATAAATAAATAAATTGAAATAAGAACAATAAATAAAAAAGGACAATAAATATATTATTTTTCCAATATTAACTGTACGTAATATTTTTTAACTCTTTATTTATAAATATAAAAAGTAGATAATAAAAAAATTGTCATATTAAACTTTAATCTTAATATATCTAAATCATATTTAAGGCATAATATTATAATCATAATATATACCCACATTAAACAAACATCCATAACATTTATTACAATACAATTTGGTTATATTATTAATATTTCATATAAATGAATTATGAATTTATTAGAAAAATCAGAAAACAATTTTTTATAAATATAAGATAAATATAAGGTAGTATCAGTTCAAAGACTCTCGACTATTTGACATCAACACTCATACACCTGAATACGTGATACTCGAACTCTAGACCTCAAAGGATAATAACAAATTCCTCCATGAATCTCTTGAGGGATAATAATATTTAAATGAAAATCACATAATACTTCTTATATAATATTTTAAAATTAATCTCACTATTAAAATATTTTATATTTACTTTATTTAAAATAAAAATAATTATAAATAAAATATTATTTTATTCAAATAATGTAAATTACTATAAAATATAAACAGTTCAAATATCATATTTATATAATATATTTTTTATTTTTATAAGTATTTTAATATAATTACAAGATAATATATATTTTATTTCAATAATTACAAATAATATTTTTAAAATCTAAAACACTAAAAAGAACTCACATTTATCACTAGAATTACTCTTTATATAAAAAAAAACCCTAATTATAATCAGATTAACTGTTTAATATATGTCGGTGTGCGCCACCATTTCGTTATTTCCGGAACTCAAAGGTAAGATATTTTTTGTATAATTGTCACGTCTTGCCCTTGGGCTCACTTCACTCCTTATCCTTTGCTTCTTCTTCCATATTTCCATTCCATCCCCCATCAGATCCCACCGGATTTAGCTCAGATCCCTTTGTATCGGATCCCCTAAATCCCAGATCTTTACTCATTTTGACTAAAGCAAGAAAAAAAATCAACGATGAGGGAAATTATTAGCGTCCACATTGGCCAAGCTGGGATTCAGGTCGGGAATTCCTGCTGGGAGCTTTACTGTCTCGAACATGAAATCAACCCTGATGGAACCATGCCCAGGTTTCGTTTTTCTTCCTTTATTTTCTCTGTTGCGATCAAAATTCAAACACCCAGTTTTTCTTTTAACAAAGAAGCTTGGTTCTTGTAATGCCATTGAAGCTTTTTTTAATGGTTTGATTGCAGTGATACCTCAGTGGGTGTGGCGCACGATGCTTTCAACACTTTCTTCAGTGAAACTGGTTCGGGAAAGCATGTGCCGAGAGCTGTGTTTGTGGATCTGGAACCCACTGTCATCGATGAAGTTAGAACCGGCGCTTACCGTCAACTTTTCCACCCCGAGCAGCTTATTTCTGGAAAAGAAGATGCCGCTAATAATTTTGCCAGAGGCCACTATACGAGTAAGAAAAAATCTCTTCTTTTTAGTTTGATTAACTTCGGTCTTGTTGTTTGTTGGCTTACATTGATTAAGGCTTTGGGCTTTTATGCAGTTGGGAAGGAAATTGTGGATCTCTGCCTAGATCGAGTTAGGAAGCTAGCTGATAACTGCACTGGGTTGCAAGGGTTTATGGTGTTTAATGCTGTCGGCGGTGGTACTGGATCTGGTCTGGGATCTTTGTTATTGGAGCGTTTGTCGGTTGATTATGGAAAAAAATCAAAGCTTGGGTTCACCATCTATCCTTCACCGCAGGTACTTCGTTGTTTTTATTACTGCTAACTCATGAATCTCTTCATTTTCAGTATGCAAACCCTGTTAAGTAATTCTAATGGAAAAGTTTGTGCTATTGAGAGTTGATTTGTTAGTGAAATTTGTCACGTGCATGTTGAGACAGCCTTTGCATTAAGATTATCCAATGGAATTAGCATAAGTGACTGAATCTGTTGATTATAGAAAGTTCATTGTAAATTTGATGAAAATTAAAGGTTTGTGACATGTATGAAAGTTGATGATCTCGAGGTTTTATCTTGTTGAATTTGCAGGTATCAACAGCAGTTGTGGAGCCTTACAATAGTGTCCTGTCCACTCATTCTCTTCTTGAGCACACAGATGTGGCTGTGCTCTTGGACAATGAAGCAATTTACGACATATGCCGAAGATCCCTTGATATCGAGAGGCCAACTTACACCAATTTGAACCGATTGATATCTCAAATCATTTCGTCCTTGACTACTTCTTTGAGGTTTGATGGTGCCATTAATGTGGACATCACAGAGTTCCAAACCAATCTTGTTCCATATCCTCGTATCCATTTCATGCTCTCTTCATATGCACCTGTTATCTCAGCTGAGAAGGCATACCATGAACAGCTATCAGTTCCTGAGATCACAAATGCTGTGTTTGAGCCCTCAAGTATGATGGCGAAGTGCGATCCTAGGCATGGGAAGTACATGGCGTGCTGCCTGATGTATCGAGGAGATGTTGTGCCCAAGGATGTCAATGCTGCTGTTGCTACTATCAAAACAAAGAGGACTGTGCAGTTTGTTGACTGGTAAGAGCATTTGCTGTTGACGGATGGGAACTCCTGCTTCAGTATAGTTCAATGTTTAGCAAAAATTGTTTTGATTATTACTTACAAAATCTCTTGTGCTGAAAGTGGAATTGTCCTGTTCATCAGTTATTTCCCTTTTTGAATCCTTAACTACTTTAGGCGGTATGAAAATACTAATAGAAATGTTGGTTATTGTATTGAATGTTACTGTTGTTTCACGTGTAACTTATTATCTGAAATTGTTTATGGTGTGCAGGTGCCCAACTGGTTTCAAATGCGGTATCAACTATCAGCCCCCAACTGTTGTTCCTGGAGGAGATCTTGCTAAAGTGCAGCGAGCTGTTTGCATGATAAGCAATAATACGGCTGTGGCTGAGGTATTTGCGCGCATTGACCACAAGTTTGATCTCATGTATGCGAAGAGAGCTTTTGTGCATTGGTACGTGGGTGAGGGCATGGAAGAAGGTGAATTCTCGGAAGCTCGTGAGGATCTGGCTGCACTTGAGAAGGATTATGAAGAAGTTGGTGCTGAAGGTGGAGATGATGAAGATGAAGGTGAAGAGTATTGATCAACTTGTGTGAAAACATTTGTTTCAAATATCGGTTTATCGTATCCTTCCTATTGTTCTTTCTTGTTAGCGTGGTGTAAGATTGTGAGATTGATCCTCCTAGCCTTTTCATGTTATCAATGAATTGTGTTTTGCATGTTATTGTGTTCGTAATGTTTGTGTTTTAATTGTGGAAGATGGTTAAATAAGGTGAGCTATGGTTCCATTTTCATGTCTAAAATCGTCACATTTATGGGTGCTGTAAGATCCCTTTTATGCTATGAATTGGAGTACTATTTTAGATTCTGTTGCATGTTATTATTGTTGGAAATGCTTTTATTTACGAGAGATGCTCTTACGGTCGAAAATTTGACCATTCTCATACCTATATATACAGAACATTTATTAGGTGTACTAAAGTACGGATAGAATCCCAGAGAGCATCATTTGGGTCTAAATGTCTAATGCATTAGTCTGCTTGCACTCATTCACTTCATTCATTGGCATAAACCGATGCTGATCTTTCTTTCTACCTTCAACCGATCAAATTCGAGTAGCTCTGCTCGCATTGAATCGGAAACATCACCATCTAGTAGCAATTGTAGTCCTTGGTTCACCGGAATCCGATCACACCCTGCCAATGCTGGTTCATGTTCCCCGGCACAATTGCTCAAATCTGGCCTGTACGCATCATCAAACGCCTTCATGACTTGTTCCATGGGATCAGTTGTCATTGTCACAAACTACTGTACTTGATTTTATCGCGGTTTTATTGGAGTTGATCCTTGAAGTCCCATCCCTTAAAATATTCTTATGATTAAGCATGTTTCTGACCTTCAAAGAGAAGAGAAGAATTCGTGGGGACTCAAATTGCGAAACTGGTTCAAGTATCAGGTCCCGGAGGAGCGCGGCCTAAGCTGAAGCAGCTTCTTCAGCAGTGTCAAAGATGCCTAACTACATTCATATCTTCCTCGTAGTGTCTTTGATCTCTGGTACCCATTTCCCTGAAGGCCTTTCCCAACTAACTTGCTTCTACTAGAGTTGGTAATTCTCTCATCGAACTTGCCATTGTTTGACGATGAAACCTAAACCCCATCTTGCTGCCATTGGCTTTGGACTCATTCGCTCGAGTGACGGAAACAGGGAGAGGCTGTCTGATTTTGATTTCGTTTCGTGAATTTGATTTTAAATATTTAGGATAATTTACCTGCTCATATTTTACTAATAAATTGTTTAAACAAATAGATTAGTGGGAAGGCTGGCTGATTTTATTGGCAGCGTGTAGGCTCGAATTTCGAGTTGACAGAATCACTTGATTACCTTTAACATTGTATTCGGGAGATGCTAGTGGGTGAAAAATATTTCAAGTTGCTTCAAGTATACAATTATATTTTAATCACTTATAATGGTAAAATTATAATTTATTTATAAATATTATATCTAGAATTTCGAACTTTTGATACTAAAATTTGAAAAATGATACTCGCAAAGACATGATTTCAATATCACTACCATCGATCAAGTATCACATCGATAAAGTTTAACAAATTTAGATATGAAATTTATTAAGAAACACATATGCCACATTTGTTAAAAATATAGACTCAAAGAGGTTTGCAAAAAGGATAAGAAAGAATAACCATTCAAAAATTTCAGTCCATATGTTCTATAATGATGACAATCGAGGACAAATATTTTGTGCAAACTGAAACCAAAAACACATTCCGACACCAAAACTGCTACAAGAATTGCACTTTTAATGGCAACCCTCAAGACCTCATGTACTCACCCACGAAAAATGCAAAAAAGCTTACAAACCATAGAAACCACATTATTCTTCTTTTCCAGACGTATTGTAAATCGAAAACTTGTAATATACACATTCTACCAAGAAAATAAGATGAGAAAGGGATTCATTTCAATCGCTGGTGTGACGACCTTTCGTGCCCAATCAAAAGCTTCGCTGGCCTGCGAGTAAGACATCATGCAAAGACAAACCAATGGGAACCTTCTTGGGGAAATGAATTGGTAACAAGATATGCTTCAACACAGACTGGACGAGCATTGAATTCCATCAAAACCAGAAAGACGCTTGTCAGTGACGGAAAAATATACTAAGAGGAGAGCATGGATTGCAAGGCAAGCTGTTGCTGTGGCTGCAAAGATGACCAAGTTGAGGCCAATGTTGCCGCTGGCAAAGTTTGCTGAAGCTGCCTCAGTAGATTCACCATCCGACTTGCAGTTTGCTCCGTGACTAGATCCTTACCGCATAGTACCTGCAAAAACAGTAACCATCTCTAAGATAAGATACTCACGGGGGAATCCACCTTTTGATCCACTTGGACAATAACATCCTATGTTGATGTGCAGGAAGATTAAGAGCAAGTTATAGTTTTTATCCTTTGTCACTCACCCAAGTCCAACAAATCTACCAACAAACCACGTGGGTGTTGGAATTATATTGCCCATAATTTCATCCGATAGGAAACACAATAAATCCATTGGTTTTAGACTAGAAAAAAGTTGCAAAATAATTGCATGAAACTCAAAATTTGTCAGGATTGCTGTTTTTTTAAATAAAAATTGCAATCTTATTCATTGGATTCTAAAAGTAGAATTTGTGTGAAGATTATAATGCAATCACTTGAAATTTTACCTCAGCAAATATTGAAACTATCTTAGGAAGATATTGATGGTTAGGACCCAATACATCGTTGTCTGACCTGAAAGCACATTAGATACATTGTTTGTAATGAACAGTGACATCAAATTTAGACAAAAAAAAAAACTTGTGAAATTCAGATCAGTGCAGTTAAAACACGAAAGATACCTCTCTACCATTGAACAAAGTTGTTCATGAACAACTTTGGCTTCTATCAGATCACTTTTTATCGGCAAGCAATTTAACCATGCAGGAACAACCTACCAAACACAAATGGGAGTGTTCAAGGCAAGCCAAAATAAAGAACATAACATGCAGAACGAGTATTTTAATCACAGAATAACTGTGATCCATCTAAAAGTGTAGAACAGATTAAAATATAAAAGGCATTCGGAGATTTGGACAATAGCTTAGGGCATGCATGCACTTAATTCAAAGCACAGACCCTATCCATTTTTATCAAAAGAACTCATCAACTTGGAAAACAATTTTATATTCTTCCATACCTGAGCTGCATCAATACTGTCGCGATGGAACAGGCATATTTTTCCCAAAGCAGAAACGGCATTATCATATGCCATCACGTTTTCAGATTGCAAGGCATTGGGATGCCGTATGACAGCATTTAACCTAGATAGAGCCTCTGGAAAAAGTTGCAAAAACATAAGTTATTCTGAAAGCTAAAATAAGTCACCTTATATAATCATGCAGAACTTACCTCCAACAAGGGGCTTAAATACAGGTCCACCAAATTCCATACAAACACCCAGTCCATACACCGCCGCCTGAACATAAATCATGCAATTGAATTGCAACTTCAACAATCTAAGGTGCTTTAGATACATGAAAGTAAAAAAAGTACTGACCTGTCGCACATCTGGGTTCTCATCATTGCAAGCCTCCAATATGAAAGGAAGATATGTGTCATAATACCTGTTTCAACCACATTACAGCAATTGCATCAAATGACAATTTTCTATGGTGATAATTAGTATAAGTTTAGGCAACATACTTTATAGCTGCCTCACGACACTGCTCTGCAACATCATCAAAAATACAAATTGCAATTCTTCTTTCTTCAGCTGTCTTATCCTTGCCCTGTATTTAAGACAAACAAGAAACAGAGGGAAAGAGAGATGAGCACACGTTAGGAAATAAAGTTTTGTCTGCTCCTCAAGAAGTGCAAACTGACATCCAAAACAGAGGCAATTTTCTGAGAACTTACCCACATAGGTGTAAGATATGAAGATAGCTCATCAAAGAAAGGCAAGAAAGAGGCTTTAAATGTTTTGACCAAAGTTCCCAAGATTTCACCCACCTGGAAGCAGAATGTTCATTCAGTCAAATAACGAGGAAGCATTATGGTTCCAGAAGAAAAAACTTGCACAGTATACCACAGATTTTATATGAAGACTTACTTGGTCAAAAACTTCTTCCTCTTGCTCATTTTCCTCTTTAATCAACTCTCCCTCCTCAGCATCAAAGTCTTCAGCTTTGGCTCTTTTAGCTCTCTCATTTTTTCTACTTGCACTAGCTGTGATTACTTGTTTTACCTCGTCCACGATAGATCTAACCTGGCTTTCTTCTAGAAGAGTACCAGAGATCTGAAAGAGAAATACTCAGAATTTGGATAAGTGTTGCACAATTTCTATGATATACAATAACAAAGAGACATAATCAGATTAGGACAAATAACATCCCTGGTTAAAAGTACTCTCATACACGTCAATTAAAATAAATGAAACATGAAGGTACTCTCATACATGTCAATTAAAATAAATGAAACATACAGTTTTCAACAAAAATCAACATGACAGTTTTAGTTTTAGGAATTAGTTCAACTTATAGCCAATATTGAAATACCATATTAAGTTCAAGTAGTTTTCATTTTTCATTTACTTAAATAGATGTTTGCTACGATCATCTGTTGCCCCCACAATGTTAGCTAATAGCCAAAGCAGAATAATTCCAAACAGATGGCAACAAACAGATGAGAAACTATATAATTAAGTTCATTTTTAATAGAACAAACCTGTATGCATTCATTCAATGCGTCCAACATGCTAGCACAAATTTCAGTATCAGGTTCCTGCAAGAAAGAATTTGACAACTTATGTACGTCAGGTAGAACAAGTAATGCATCAACGAAGCAATTAGAACTTCAAAAAATGAATAATCTTAAAGCTAAAACAAGAAACCTTATGTAATGCCTCCACTAGAGCCGGAATGATGTAGTCAGACAATTGCTTTACATAGGTCTCATTACGCCCTTGAGCTATTCCATTTTCCACAGCTAATTTTGCTGAGCGCAGCAACTCCGGCATGGCTAGATACAAAATTGAAAGATAGACAAAGATAGAATTAACAAAAGCCTAACTTGACAAAAAAAAAGATGGATAAAAAACAAAAGTATATACTTATACCTGAAACAGCAGCTTTTCTAACTTCCTCATGGAAATAAAATTTAAGAAGAGGAACTAGAGTTGGAGCAACCTGGATCACACGTTCAACTTTTAGATAGTATTAATATTGCTAGAAAGTCTAGAAAAATAACCTGATGACAATACAATGAACTGATAAAAACCTGATCAATCCATGGAAAAAATCCTTCCTTCAACTCATCTGCATAGCAACATAGCATGTTACATGCTGTAGCCTTTTCCTCCAGAACGCTTGTCTTGATCCCAATTCTTTTATCCCCAAGAGTAATAGTTTCCATACTGTGCAATACCAGATATCTCTTACTACAACACCAAATAAAATATTGCAAACAACATGCCATTGCAATAAGCCAATTACAAGCCATGCATGAACACAGCTATGGCCAAGACTCAGTATAGTTCATGATGTGTGTGCACATCCGCACTTGTGTGCAAGTGTGTGTTTCTCAGTATTTCTGAAAAGAGAAGTAAAAGAGGCGATAGACTTTTCAAATCTTTACAAATGAATGGAGAGGATAAACAAAATATAAATGCTCATATCAACATTTATGTTACTTACTGACAATATATTAATTAATGCAGTAACAAACCTTTCATCGTCAGAGTCCTCAATGTCATTATCTGAATCTGCAGACGTAATAGTTACATCTGGCTTAAGTTGAGCAGACCGGAGAAGGGGAGGCATGACAAAACTCATGTAAGGGAGGAAGTCTTGTCCCAAACACTTGCAGAGTCTGGCCCATGCCTGTCACGTGGATAATATTTTCATAAGCAAGGATGAATAAACATGCAAAAGATATGTATATTTTTATGTATTTTGGTGCTATGGACATACTTGCAGCATGTAACTTGTTGTAGGATCATCTGTCTCCATTTGGGATCCTTGCAATGACATAAGCACTTCCATAACCTTGCAAGAATAGAGGAAGAAAAAAATTAAGGTATTCCTATCTTTGATGGAAGAATATACAAGATATTCAACAGTTGGTGGAATATCAATATAACTGTAACTATGTAATGAAAAGAAAATAAAGAACAATGAGAAAAAAGAAAAGAAAAGCACATGATACAAATTACAGAAGGCACAAGTCTGCTCATAAGAATGAAGGTAGGTTGGTATAAAAGGAACAGAAGGTACAGCAATTATGCATTAATATTTCAGGTATAGATCATATAAAAAGCAAGATAAAATGTAAAAAAGGGAATACACAAATTCATTTAATAAATGGAGTTTTCTTTCGCCAGTATAACAAGAGACTTGACTAAGGTTTCTTTATCAATAGGAATTTCAAAAGAAAAAATGAACAAAACCCAAAAGTGATGAAAAAAGTGGGCATAAATGGAGATCCACAACCAGGTGTTGTAGTCTATATTCTCATAGACAACGGAAGGCAATAATAAAATTAAAAACTGGTTTGGCTCTGCAACAAATATATCAGGAATGTGCATGCCTGTGAGCAATCAAAATTCTGGGTGTTACTGACTTCGTTTGATATGATCACAAGAAAAAGTCAATAATAGATCAACCTGAAGGGACCCTCCCTCAAATTGATATCTAGCCCATCCCAATCATTTTCAAGGAACAAGAAATGCATATTCTTTTCTTAGGCTAGAGAAGGGAAGGTGCATACTGGCTGCAAATTACACCATCATAGTTCTTAACCAATGTCAAATGATATTGCCATAAACTCAAATTTCTACCACCAACCCATGACTTCTTGGGATCTAAGAAAATGACTACACAAGTAATAAAAGTAATCAAATTGAAACAGGAAAATGATACTGGCTACAAGTTACACTATTTTAGTTTTTAACCAACCTCAAATGGTATCACTAAACTCAATGTTCTACCATCAACCCGTAACTTTTTGAGATATAAGAAAATAAAATAAATCAAATTGAAACAGAAAAAGGTGTTTTCTACACGCAAACCCACCTGCTTAGCATCATCTCTGAACTTCTCTTTTCCAACAGCCATTCCAACAAGACTAATACACTCCATGGATTTGGCACGTAGCATACGATTAGATTTATCAGTTGCATTCACCAAGATAGCTTTCAGGTAAGGCATAACTGCATCATAATATTTTTGGAATTGCTCCTGCAACCCCCAATAACATTGAACCGAGTCGTCCATATAAGAGACAAAATTAATGATCTGCCTAACTTTATTTTGTGTAAAACTATACCTGAGATGAGTCGGCCACTGATGCCAAAGCAGTCAAGGCACCTTCTTGCACCATTTGTTTCCCATTCTACAAGATATATTTCAAATTTAGACAACAATGATCTCCTTAAAACAAAGGAAATTCATGCATTAGCATTAAAACTCACTCGTCATACCTGTAAAAGTACAAGCAATTTACTAACGATTCCATCCAAGTAAGGTGTTAAAATTTCTGGAGTGCAGTTCTCACTGAAGTTGAGTACAGCTGAAGCAGCATGGGCCTGTTTAGACACAAATTACAAAACAAACCAAACTGTTAATAATATTAATAAAATGCTGAGGTGGAAGAAAGAAAGAAAGAGAAAACAGAAACTGACATTATGATAAGAATATTAAAGCATAAGCTACTTCAGTTCAGTTTCCTGTGTAGGCATGTTTTATCCATCTATAAACTGGAACTATCATTATATCAATATATCCATATGAAAATTTGAAGATGGTTTTTCTCTATTATCCATAAAATATCTCAAGCAATTACAACTATGTAGGATTGACTTTTCAATTAATTGATTCCCTTCACAATAGTTATGAGGCTTAACAGACACATCCACCATTCAAAGGCTAATTTGTAAAGATGCTAGCAACACTTACATTCAAGTTCTGTTGTATCTTTCAAGAAACATGAAGGCAATTATTTAAAACAGATATTAACCAACTTTAAAAAGCATAACCTAGAATCATGAAAGCAAAATTATATATCTCTGACTAGCCTGTACTCGTGGATTCTGGAAATCATCCATAGCACCAGCTAATGCTGGCAATACTCTTTGGTGATATTGGTTCTGCAAATCTGGACCCAGGTCTGTAGACAATTGCCCGATTGCATTAATTGCTGCCCACCTCACACGGGGATGAGAATCATGAAAGGAGTTCAAGACCATAGAAACCACTTGTTCCAGATTTTTAATCATAACCTGCAAGTGTAGCAACAAATTAAAATTAAAAAAACTGAACATCTTCCTAATTCTTTATTACAAGTACAGCATCTATGTATTGTAATGCCATTTTTTGTTTCTTTCGGGCATGACCTAATTCCCATGAAAAAGCTATGACACTGGACTATGGAAAAAGATATTAGGAATCCACATATATCAGACAAAGTCCCATCCAAATGTTAGTGAACTGAAGACACTATGAATCAAACTGAATAACTGATTGACTAGGGTTGGGACTGATATCAAGGAAGGGCATGCCAACAATAATTGCAGCATAAGACATGTTAAACATACTGAACTAAACATATGTCTTAAAATGCATCAAACACATTGAAATATTTTGTATACCTTGGCACACCCCTCGGCAATCTGAGCAAGAGCAATCAACGCAGCATGGTGCTTTTGCCACTCAGGTGCAGCCAAATAAGCAGGCAACTGCTCTGATGCAACAGGAACAATCGTGTTACCACCCAACGAAATTGCCAAACGATCCAAACACTCCTGCCCGACACTGTAATTGCTTGTTTCTCCAGCATCCTCATCTTCAGTTTCTGCAGTGTGCCATGCTGCATCATCCTCGATATTCAACAGCATTCTCATTAGTATTGCAAATAGTCTACTAATAAATTGCGGCAACTTTCTCATCATTCCTGGAGCTCGCTCCCTTGCTTCTGCCAAAGTGACCACGAACTCGATCGCCAAATGCCGAGTGCCTTCCTCGAGTGATTCAGCCTCTGCAATCTGCAGCATTGCGCCCACCACATCGACAAGCTGCCTTCTAAGAAAACGAGGCTCCGTCCCAGCCAACTCAATCAACAACTCAAGAGCCTCTTGAGCGGTGGCCTCGTTCCCGTTATTTAAAGCCTCCGTCAACGTCCTCATCATCGCTGGCAATAGATCCTGAAATCTATCCCGATCAGATGAGCTGGTCAAACACTGAATAAAGTTGATTACCGCATTCAAAGCAGCGATTTTGACATCGGCATTAGTACTTTCACTCAAACATCTCAAGAAAACAGCGTGTAGATCCTTTATAAAAGGAGTCAACACGTCGCCTATATACTGACTCAACTGAGCAAATATCAAAAACGCAGATTCCTGTAATTTAGGAGAATCCGAAGAAACACACTGAAACATAAACGGCAAGAGCTCCGGCCAGCCATTCTCCGGCAATATACTGGAAGCAAGCTCGGCTACAGTATCGCACAACTTTTTAGACAAATTTTTGGCGGTCTCCACTTGGATTTGAGACAAAAGCACGGATTTGAGTGAGGAGTGAGTATTGATGTTGAGTCGAGGCCAGATATAAGAGTCGTCACGCGTCAACAACTTACGGAGGAGAATAGCGGCCATGGCACGAGCCTCGGGTTGATTGCAGACTTGGAGGAGATGTACGAGACGGAGGCAGAGGGCGTCAGGGTCGGATTGCTTGCATAGATTAAACAAACCCTCGGCGTGAGAACGTTGCTCGTTCGAGGACGACATCAAGTGGGAGACTAGGGTTTCGAATGGAGCCGGGTCGGGTCCCAAGATGAGGGCAAGCTGCGATTGCTGGTCCATGGCGGCGAAAGAGAAGAAGACGGTGTTGATTCCCTTAGTGACGCCTCCTTTGATATGGTTTTTGGAATTGTGAATTTTGTTGTGGGAAAAATGAGGGCAAAAGTAGAGAGAGAAAAACTAGGGCTGACAAGAAAAAAAGGAGGGGATGATTAGCTGTAATTTTACGTGTCATGATGATTAGTGTGAGTGCCCACCTCATTTTTGGAGGGAAAAAATAAAACACCTAATAACATGTACTATGCATTGCATATATGTTGCTTGCTTAAATTAATTTAATGACATTAAAAACGTTAGAAGTGTAAATATGGATTCATTTAACAATATGAACAAATGATACACAACATGTACTATTGCTATGTATATTGATGAATCAAATAGTAATTTAGATGAAGATTAAGTAATTATGTGACTTTTACAGTCATTTTTTAATATGATGATGTAATATTCAAAGTGTATCTTGTAAAAAAATAATAATAATAATAATGATGACGACGATGATTCTTACAAGAACATGAACAAGTGTTTTTTTTAGTGAAAACCATGAGTTTTAAAGAATTGAATTTTGGTTTTTCAAACACAGTTATATTATAATTTTTTAAATTTCATAATTTTATTTTTGGGTGTCAGATAACTTTTTTTTAAAATTTATATAATTTTTCAAGATAGATTTGTTCAATATCAATACATAAATGTTGAAAAATTATGTAAATTTTTAAAAAAAAATTATTTCAATCGAATACTCTAGCACAGAGTTATAACCTTTAAAAGTTCCATTGTTTAATTTATAATGTAATTTTTAAAAATGTATTTTTAGTTCCTATGTTTTTATCTTCTTACCATTTGATTTTGAAAAAATATATAGAAAAATCATATAGGATAAAACGTTTTATGATTTATGTGCATTTCAAAGGCGCGATTAATATATACATCTTTGTCCGATGTGACATCCTATCTCAGAAAATGAATATCATTTTCTTAAATAATATGTTTTAAGTAGGGTGTGCAAAAACACCCTATTTGGTTGACCTAATCTATCGATCCGAATTTAAAAAAATTGGATATTTTTCTTAACAAATTATTCAACCGGGTTAGGTATCCGGCCTAATATTTCTCGGGTCGGGCTTGAGTCACAAAATTGAGTTTTTTCGGATACCTGGTTACCTGAGTATCCAGTTAGTTTTTTTTTAATTATATATATATATATATAATATAATAGATTATTTATAGTATGGATTATTAGATTTTATATTTTGAACTTTTAAATTTTATGTTCGGAGGTTGAAGTATGTAATTCGAAGTTTTAAACATTTAAATTTTTGTATATTTTTTTGAAATTAATAATTTGAAAATGAAAAAAAATAGATAACATCCGGGTCAGGACACAGACCGAGAAATCACTGACCCATATATTGCGGGTACTCGGATTTGCACAACCTAGTGTTAAGTTTCATTTCTTTAAATAATAAAATATGTAATTTTTTATAATCTTTTTTAGTATTTTTTTTATAGTTGCAATTGAAGAATATAAAAGATGCAATTGAAATGTAATATAGTGTGACTCAGTAGTTCTGTTGATATTAGATTAACTAATATAATTTATAACATCAATTGTAAATAATTAATATAATTTAAATTATGATTAATAGATTTTTATAAATTTATTAATAGTTTTGTAAAATTATTATATTTTGCTTAATATATAAATTTTTATAATATTTTATAATTAATGCATTCTTATACATACATGTATAATTAATTTTAAATAAATTTAAACTAAATGTAATAAGTTTCAAGCTTGACACAATGAGTAGGTACTGAGTTTAATACTAAGAGATCATATGGCGAGTATCGGTCATTAGTTAATTAAACTTTTTATCCAAATAAAAGTTATTTTAATAAAAAAATTAAAACATTAAAGGTTAAAATAATTTCAAAAAAATAAAAATAACTATAACATTAAACGTTAAAGATTAAATTTTGGTATTATATTTATTTTTTAAATAAATTTATTTATTAAAGAGGGGAATCACGATAGGCATACTGCTCAAAAGTTTTTCTTTTTTTAATTAAGCTAAAAGTTATTTATAAAGTAATATTTAAATTTCAACTTTTACCATGTATTTAATTTAGTCTCTACCTTCACTAATATTTAAAATGTAAAAAAGAAAAAGAAGAAAGAAAAGAAAAGAGAGAACTGTATAAACAAACTTTTTCATGAACATAAATAAATGAATTGATAAACGAGCTTGTTCGTGAACATAAACGAACCGAACATATCTCTATTCTTGTTATTTTTTGTTCATACTCATTAATTTAGCTTAACAAACGGACATAAACAAATGTTATACAAACAGTTCACCTAAAGTAATGTTCATTTATTCCTCTAGCTCCAACGTCTTAAGAAATTTCAGTATCATATACTATGAATTGGAATTGATCATCAAGCAGTTTGAAGAAATAAAGGGATGCTATAATTAAATAATTATACCGATAACAATAAAAAAAAAGGAAACACAGCAAAAGCCTGAATTAATCTCCACAATTTATATTTTGTACAAAAATCAAGAAAACTGAAAGACATAACAAGAAGAAAATACAGAGAGGGGTAGCTCACAACATGATCAGCATGTATTTACTCCATCTTTGCAATCTTTGGTTAAGTTGTAAAAGGTTTCTACCCGTGTCTTTGCGCGGTAAAGTACCTCGGTGTCCACAGCAACTCGCATGTATCCATCGAACTCAACAGGTTTTCCATCATTCAGCTGCGTTGTCTCATTGTACCACTCACTCGTGTTACTCCATAATTCCTTGTAATCATCAAGCAAATGGACCTTGTATTGAGACCTCAATTTATCAAAGTAATTATAGAACGGCTCGTTCGTTGCTATGTAAAGATTCCTCCAAGGCTGAATCATTTCTTTAAGCTTAGTAAGAAGCGCATCAGGGGATGTATCAGAGTCTAAGTGTGGCCAGTGATCTTTGTTTAGTGCCTTTTCCCCTCTAACCACATGCACGGCATCAAAATCCCAGTCCATTTGCCCACTAATCTCAGTCACTATGTTCATCAATCTCTTTGATTTCCACAAAGCATGCCATGGCCTCTGAATGTACTTGGCTGCTTGCCCCTCGCATACCCTGTACCAATAGTTTTCAGGTTCCGAAGCTTCGAACTGCCTCCAAATGATCGTGCTCTTGTCCTTCTTAAGTTGCATCGGTGTGACTTTATAGGTTGTGACCTTCTTGACTGGCACTTTCCTTTTATGGCCCCTATTCCATTTCTTCCAACCTCTCAATAACTCGCTCTCCTCCACAACGGATGCTGCCTCCTTCAGATGCTCAAAATCAAAATAATACCGGAAATCTTTTCCCTCCTCGTCCTTATTGCTTGGATTATAAGATGCCGATAAACATATGCTCAAATCCATCACAAATGTCCTATTCAAATACATAGCCTCCCCTAAACCACACAAGAAACTCCACAAGTAATGATTCATTCCCTTGCAGTAGTCCCCTCCCCGTGCATAATACAAATACTTCCCCTTTCTAAAGTTCATATCTGAACCCAAAATGGGAATGGTGTCGTTTATCTCTTCATCACGTATAGGTGGTGCGAGCTTCGGATTCCCACCATTCCGTGTGGTGTTAGGCCTGTTCCTAGGCCTTCGAGCATTAATCCCCGAATGCCAGTCACCGGCATGAACCACGGTATAGGTACAGTTCTCTCCGATCCCTAACTTGAACCTTCTAAAATCCCTGTACTTTCTCCAAGACTTTTCTTTCTTGTTCCTAAACCTCCAAGCCACATCACACTCATCTGGTTTCGATCCACTGACCGGAGTTTGATACTCCAGAAACACGATAAACTTGAAAATTTTCAAATTGAATCTCTCAACCGTGAACAAAACGAACGGATCTGAACAATTCACAGGCCCAACGTCCTCACAATCCGATTTCAGGCTCAAATTTGAGATTTTCCCTTCGGACTTCTCGATCACGGTTTCGGTGATAGGATTGAGTGCAGTGGGAGTTGCCACAGTAACTAGATCCTCACCGGTTTTAAGGATAGAATCATCGTTTTTGAAAGTGGCATTCTCAGTTTGGGTGAAGAGTTTGGTCAAGGCCGGCGCTGATTCCAGCCATGGATCTGGGGGTTGGTAAGTGATAGCAATAACCGTAAATATCAACACCGAAAACACAAAAAGTGAGAAACACAGATTACTTATCAGTTTTATCAGATTCTGTCCGATTGGCTCAGTGCTTAACTCCGATTCCTTCATGGGTTTTCACTAAACTTTGAAAACCCAACAGCAGAAATCAATCAGATCTCCAGATAAACCAATGAAAAAACAAAACTAACCCGATTCCTTCAAGGGTTTCGTTTATTTTCGAAAACCCAATAACAAAAACTAAAGAAATTTTAACGAGAAATGAAGAAAGACTTGGATTATACTTACAAGTGAATGGTTTTATGGGGGAATAGCATTCATGGAAAGTAAGCAGATCCACGGAGAAAGTAAAGACAACAATGGCAGTGTGAAGGAGATCCGGGGAATATAAATTTGCAATGAAATAAAGTGATTTTTGTGGAGGATTACGAGTTGATTATACGCTTCACTTTCATTTTCTCACTTGAGGTGGTGCCATGTCATCGTCATCAGATCGGGACCTCTAACTTGCCCACAAGTGTACTCAACTGAAATAATATGGGTAAACTATCTATTTAATCATATAACTAACAATACATTTCTGTTTTAGTCATCAAATAACAAAAATATATATATATTCATCGTTAACATTATCGAACGCGAAAACCTTAGCAAGATTACATATATAAATTATTAAAATTTAAATAATAATACGTTTTTTAAAAGATCTAGATTTAAATTTAGACACGTGCAAATTATATTACTCAAACTTAAGTTATCGAAAAATAATAAATTCCCTTTAATTATTAGAATCACTTCAAGAGGTCAATAGTACATTTAATTTTATGCAAATGAAGTTTAATTCGAGTACATAATAAACGATGAAATTATATAAAAAGTTATAAGAAGAAAGAGAGGCAACATTTGATGGTCTTGGATGGTAGTGCAGACGCAACAATAATGATATTGAGGTGGAGGTAGTGTTTAGAAGAGAAGGTTTAAAGAATTAGGTTTATTGTTTGTAAAAAATGAAAAGGATAAATTATATTTGGTTGGCCGAGAATCTCATTCCCGGTAATGTTTTATTACCAATAATAGATTTTTTTGTATATTACCAGGAATGTCATTACCTCCCTTCCCTTATGTATTGTAATATTATTGGCGTTTTGGACTAAAATGCCCTTAAATTTTTATTTTTTTTCAAAAATATCCTTCTTCTGTCATTGAATAATAAAAATTCTACGAATGTTAAATTACAAATTTATCCTTAAATTATTTTAGATTTACAAAAAAAAAGTCTATAATTAAAATTTTATATGAAGTTCAGGGGTTAACATTTTTTTTACACTTTCATTAAACCTTTTTTATATTTTTAATTTTGTAAAAAAAATTAATAAATATTATGAATTTAATTTTTTAAAGAAAATATATAAATATTTTACAATTTGTAATATTATACAAATATATAATAAGGACAATTTGGTTAAATATACATTCTAATAATCTTTTATTCATTTAACCAAACACGGTAATCTTACATTCCTGCTAAACCAACTAAACACAAAGTACAACATTCTCAGTAATCCTATTCCCTGGTAATCTTTTATTCTCACTGATAATCTTACATTTCGTGAACCAAACGCACCCTTAATGATTTAATATAAGGTAAATAAAATCAAATCGAAAGATATCGTTAATGATGAAACAAGTGATTTATGTTCCGATTCGACGCTATCCTCTTATTTATGTTCTTCACAAACCATGGAAACAAGTGATTCCATGTTACCGCCGAGAATGCCCCTTTCAATGTAACAATTTGCAGCAACATATCTCCAAACATGAAAACATCTCTTTCGGCTGGACACTCTGAGGAAGTGGATTCCTTTCTGTAGTGTCGTGAGACCGAAATCGGTAACCTTTGCCACAAGCTTTTCATCAAGCAACACATTTTCGAGCTTCAAGTTCTTATGAGCTTCAAGCTTTTCGTCCGGATTAGGATAATCTTTGGAACTGAATGTTGTCCCCTTGAGATTAACACAGTCTTCAAAATTTCATACAATCAAAATAAGAAAATGGAACTTTGAATTGTGTAATGTGTTATTCTTTTCTCGAAAGGAAGGAAAACGAAACTTTTAACAGGAATAAACATTGCAGGGAAAAAAGACGTCGAAAACCTTCGTTCAGAATTTAATCAATTGATTAATTATTAACTGAATGATGCCCCGAGAAATGCGACGAGAAAGTGAAGAAAACAGCTGCTGCCTGCCACTTTGTTCCTCCCCTGTTCTATTTTTTTTTTCACAAAAATTCCATAGAAACTTTACAATTGTAAACCTACTTTGCCAAAAAAAATGAGTAGATTTTTTTCATTTTGTATTAAGGCACTAAACCCAAAATTCCTACAATTTGTCATGTCATCTATTTATACAAGGTGAACAAATTGGGAAAAAAATTGTGTGCACAAGGACATAGTATTGAAAAGAATGATAAAAAAGAATTACTATATCATCTTTTCTACTTCTATTCACACTAAATCGATCGAACTAACAGGGAATGTACTCGAGTTAGGCAGTTGTACGTTTGCTGCAACTGCAACTGCTCCTTTTAATAATGGGGAGTGTTGTTTTTGGAATGGATGCTTCTCTGCAATAGATTTTCCTTCTTCAGCACAGGGAAACTTTGGGGTCTCATCTCTTCACTAGCACCTGCTGGTATGGAAACTTTTGGACTCAAGCTACTAGTTGACCTTGGAGAAAAGTATAATTTTTGGTAGCTAGCACTTCTTGGGGACAAGTTCACTTGCTCCAAAGCCCGGAATTGGAGTTCAGAGGGGTAGTCCCTCATGTAACCAATCCGGGGTCCTGCTCCCGAAGTCCACTTGCATGATATCTGCTTCCCTAATTGATATGAGTTCATTCCTTTTTTCGAGTTAATCCTTTTAAGAATTGATTCATTGGGAATGTCTTCCACATCATTGTCCACATGAAGTCCATCGGTCTTTCGTTCAGAAGCAGTAGCTTCCTCTTCTGTTTCATAACCATCCTCCAGGTCAGAATCCATTGAATCATCATTGCAACTTGGCGCTACAGCTCTATGGTCGTCGTTTGACATCTCAAACAATTCCGTTCTTTTTGGTATTTCAAGATTTGTCAACTTTTTTCTAAGGCTGAGGATTCTCCTTGACTTGGGGGTTTCAAGGGCTGCAATAGTCTCTTGTTCCCTTGAAGCACCGACCTCGTTGATCGAGTCTTTCACACTGATCTCTTCAGGCTCTAAGATGTAGTCCTCTTCACATGAGTTGCTTCTAAGATGGTTACTACTTTGTTTGCCAAGCAAGGTTTCTTCCTCATCCACTGGAGTCATCTGAATGTAGCAAAAAGCACGGTCAGCATTTCATTTCAATTTAACGAAAGAAAAAAAGAACGATACTCGAAGCATATAACATATATGTATGTATGTATGTATGTATGTATGTATGTATGTATGTATATACCTTAACATCTGTAAGATCCACATTGTTCTCCCTTACAAATGAAATGAAATCATTAAAATTTTGTTGTGTCGGACGATAATGACCACTGTGAGGCCAAACTGCCTGTTCAACAGAGTAATGGTATGGTTAAGAGACTGATATAAGAAAAGAAGTACAAAAAGAAAGTTATGTAAGATACTATCTGTAAATATACCTTAAGGACACCGCTATCAACAACTAATCTTCCAGCAGCGATAGTGGCACCACCAGCCAAGAAGCTAGAATGCTGAAATGTACCCTTCTTTTTCACACCGACATACAAGATCTTTGATGTGCTAAGAACGAAAATCCACTTGGCATTGCCGTTCTCTTCAGTAGTATGGAGAAGTTTCCCTGTTTGCTTGTATATGAATTTCCCATCTACCACAATAACTTCATAGGGCTTCCTTTCCATCTGTACAATGGATAATTGTTTCAGTAACACTGAAAACATAAACCAAGACGAAGTTTGTTGAATGAAAGAAATAAAGACTCACCGGACCGAGATATTTGATGCATTGTAGTTGAAGCTTTGATCTAGGACACTTCTCTAAATTTACCTCTTTCCCTTCTCCGATATCCAGCCTATATTTTAGAAACAAGTATAACCATTTTCAGTTTATAGAAATGTCTTAATAATGAACCAAAACACGCACTTAAAGAAAATTACCAGTAAAAGAAGGGCTCTTGACTCTGAGAATTGAGCCATTGGTTATAATAGAAGTGTAAATTGTGTCCGTAGCGATGCCTTGGGTCAATCTGAATAACACAATAAACGCGAATTAGTACCGATAACAAAGAACAACCATAAACTAAGTTCATTTTTACAGAAAGTGACTTACCGCCTCAAGCCAGTGTTGCAAGGCAAGCTTTTGAGCTTTATCATTCTTTGATAAACCTTTTCCGACCTTGGCAGCTCTTGTTCTAGCTCTCGACCAACGTGAAATTGCAGTCTCGTGCTTGTCTAGTTCGAAGAAAGATATAGAACTCCTCCTGAGTTCAGCAAAATCTAAGAGCTTCCACCTGCATTACAAATTATTGCATTAGGAAAACAAAACAAAAATTATGTATAGAAAGGTAATATAGAACATACAAATATAATACACACCAGCTCTGTTCAACGAGAACTGCACAATCCGCTAGCTTTCTCCTTGTTCGAAAGCTCTTGTAAACCTTTTGTAATCTTATTGCCGCTTCATGTTGCGGATGGTCGGGATCTAAAACCGGTGATGGTTTCGGAGTCTCTATTAAACTATCTGGTTTGGGGGATGGAATTTTGATTGCTTTGCTCTTCAAATCCTCGGTTTCACCCGAGGAAGGAGATTTGAACGAAAGAATTCTCTCAAAATCTCTCCCTTTAAAGCTAACAGACCCCTCCAATATCATATTTCCAGAGCCTAACGACTTCAATATCGTCAGTTCTGAATCAGAACCTTTGAAACTGATGGATCTAAGAGGTGTTCTGACTCCATCATCACCAAAGCTAATGGACTTCACAGTGATGGATTCTAAGCCATTCTCCACATCACTGCATTTAGCAAATGGGCAGGAAAAGGAAACACCCATCTGACGACAAGACTCGCTGATTTCTCTGCAACAAAAACTCAACTCGGTTAGGCTCTTTATATGGTAAAATATATCAAATTTATTGATGTTACAAGATACAGCAAACCAAAAACAAAAACTAGAACACAGGTTGAACAAAACCCATCAAACAAAACCACCACATTAGAATCAAATGCATATTTCATTCGTTAAAAAGCAAATAAAGAAACCCTTTTATGACCATTCTAGAACATGGATTCTGGATCTACCAAAAGCATCAAATAAACAACCAATAACAACCCATTTCATCAAAGCAAAAACCAAAACATAAACAAATGGGTAACTATGACAGTAAAGAATATACCTCAGATATGAAGATTAAATAAATGGGTTACAGTAACAGGTAAGAAGAGGATTGTTGATGATTTTCTCAGCTGGTTGTTGGATTTTGATTTCAGTTCTTCCCTTTCACTTTTCCCCAGTTCTTTCTCAGAATAAACAAGTCTCGCTCCAAAAATCAATCTACAGATACTAAATTCGACCTCGAATTATGTATATATATATATGACAACTACATAGAAATTTACTCAAAACAGTGTTGAAGTTTTCTTTTCTTTTTCTTTCCAACCACGTGAATTGACTACTTGCTGGAGGCTTCCTTTTCTGTTATTTTTATTAGAATAATACATTTTTGGTACATTTTAAAACACAAATTTTGGACTTCTTAATTCTATAAAATTTGTGACTTTATTTATAAAAAAATCTTGAAAAAATATACAGTCAAATGAATTTGAATGCATTGATTAAAAATTTTCTTTTGAAAATAATACAATTTTGGTACATTTTAAAACAAAATTTTTGAACTTCTTAATACTATAAAATTTGTGACTTTATTTATAAAAAAATCTTGAAAAAATATACAGTCAAATGAATTTGAATGCATTGATTAAATTTTTTTTTCACTTGTCAATATTATTTATTTTTATGTTTTAACTTATATTTCATATTCAATTTAAAAATTTTATTACCAATATTACTTAGTTATTTTAAATAAATTTTATTTAGAATATTATATATATTTTTAGGCTTAATTTGTATTTTATTTAAATTTAATCCCCAAGTATATTAACAAGTCCTGCCTAAAATATTTTATTTTCTAAATTTGTACTTGAATAAGAAAAAGAAATCAAAACCCACAATTTCACTGTACCTTCCTTTATAACCTCGATCTAAAAGGAAACAAATATCAAAATTATATATAATGTTTTTCATTTTAGTTCAATATAATCCAAATTAATTAACTTCTAGGAATTTTTTAATTTTTTAATATAATTTATATTTAAAAATAAATCAATGATATTTAAAATAGAGTCAAACCAAACATTGTCAAAAAAAAAATTATCCAAAGCTTAGTCAAAGTGAAATGTGACGTATTGCGATAGGCCTAATAAAGTGGTGGAATTTGGAAAAAAGAAAAGCATAAACGCCAGCGCTGATGTGTTTCAGCTCGTTACATAATATTTCGGGGGAAATGATCACGTACGACATTTTATTATACGGTTAAAATAAAATTTTATCAATTTTGTTATTATTTTAAATAATAAAATTAATAAAAAATAATCGAAAATATTATTATATCTATCAGTTTTAATTATCTATATAAGTAAACACGATAGAAAAATCCGGTAAAATGTTATCTAAAATATTAGATTTTTTCTACTGTGTTTACCTATATAAGTAATTATAATAAGTAGAAATAATAATATTTTCAGTTATTTTTCACCGATTTTATTATTTAAAATAATAACAAAACCGATATCGTCTTATTTTAACCGTATATTAAGCTGTCGTATCGTAAAACTTCCCAATATTTTGGAACTTGTAAATAACGTACCTTCTTCCCCAAGTTCTTTGTTTCTAAGCTTGAATACTACTGACTTTTCGCAAACCCAATTACCTCAAAAGTTGCTACAATGATTAATTAACATACTCGTATGATTAAAGAATTATTTTATTTTTCTAAGTTTTAGATTCGAATATAATATTTATATAGATGTATGAACTTTTATTATTAAATCATTAAAAGTTTTTTCTAATAAATATTATCTTATATTCACATTATAGTAATAAAAAATGTAATACACAAATGATCTCTTGATTATATGACATTGTTTTGTTGAGTTTTCTGATAATTTAAAGTTGCAAAATAATCACTCGACTATTCATATGTTCCAAACTCATTATTTCATGTCAAAAAATCGATGGTCGTTTGAACTGGATGTTAACTTGTTGACTGAAATATGATAAAATATGACTATAAAATCATTTGAGTTGTATTTTGTGGACCGACTCTATGTTTACATTACGTCGTCAAGTCAATACTTTAAACGTTACGTTGTCAAACCAGTGCTTGAAAGCAACGGTAGTGCCAGTAGACATCGTTAAAATATGATTTTTATCATATCCCAATGACGATCGTCAATTTTTTAACCGAAAATGATGAGTTTAAAATATATGAATAGTCAGGAGACCATTTTGTAACTTTTAATATTCTGAAGACTCAACAAAATAACGCCCTATAGTCGAATAACTATTTTATAACTTTGAATAATCTGAGAATTTAACAAAGTAATGTTCTATAATCGGGATCATTTATATACTTTACTCCAAAAAAAAAAAGCATACTCATAATTTATTTATAACGGTAATATTATTTTTAAAATATAAAATAATTTAAGTAATCTTAATATTTAATTTGAATTGGGAGTGGATGAATGAAACTTCCATGCAGGTGTGGGGGAGTGACCCACATGTTGACTTAGAAGCTCCCACCAAGAGGCGAGAGTTTTGAATGGTGGATCGATGGGTTAACAAACAAAAACCAAACACTTAAATTTTTTTAAGTCATGTATGTTGTCTCTTGTTTTTATTCCCAATCTGATGCATGAAACAGCCATTCAGGCATTATCCTATGACAGTTATGTACAAATATTATCTGTCCTTCAAACCTATATATATGGAGTATATAATATAGGGTTCATTTAGTATACGGGCCCAAATTATAGTCATTATTCTAAATTTGTGTTTAAATTTTCAAATATTTTAATAAAACTTTTAAAGTTTGATATTACTAATATGAATTTTGATGTTAAATGTTAATATGAATTTGACCCATGATGTATTTAAAAACACATGGTTCTTTTGATGTGTAACATTGAGAAATAGTGGTAGAAGTATCTTTTGATGATTCAATTCTTTTTGAGTTTCGATGAAGAGATTATAGTTATCGTGAAACTTAGATGTATTGATTTGAGATCAATAAGAGAGTCAATAAATAATATTATCTCTAAAAATATTAAGCAGAGGTATAACAAAATCAAATTTTAAACTAGTCTATTTCTATCGTATAAATAATTTTGGATTTAACAAGTTTTAAAAAATAGATTATCCTTTTAAATTTTAATAGTAATATTATTTTTTTAACATGTCATGTATAAACTATATATATATATATATATAAATGTTCATCTATTTGTTTTAATTGTGCCCCATATTGATCTAAATTTAAAGTAAATCATGAAAAAAGATGGAATATTTTTATAAAAAAAACTTTTTTTCTATTGCGGGTAGAAATAAAAGTTATTATTTTGAACACAAACTAAATCAATCAAATAATAATAATGAAAATATTATATTTTTTATATAAATTTGTGGCCTTTACTAAATCAAATATTTTAAATAGCCATCAATCATCCGACTTATATAATTAAATTTTGTCATTTTCATTTTATTCATATATCTTAAAGCGTTACCAACATAATTAAACAATGTACATAAAATGTAAGGTTATGTTGCTCAATCAATCTCAGTTGATCGAGTCGAATCTTAACAAATAAATGTTTGACTACTCATCTACACAGAGAATATCATATATATTTAAGATTAATCGTATTCGTTCGCAAATACTAATTCATTAATGTATTAAGAATTATATTAAAATAAGCACGGTATTAAATTATGAGTTATTTGAGTCGTATGCAATATTAATGAGATAATATAATTAAAATATAATATACTAACAACTAATAGGATGAGATACTAAATTATTTAAGTAAAACTAGAGTTTCGAATCTTTAATTTGTAAATTGAGCGAATTTGATTGAGAGGGTTGTCATCGTCTCTGCAGTACCTAATCAGAATAAATTGTTTAATAAATTGGATATCGTGGTTATATAAAAAATATACAATATAATATAATATGAAAATAACATTAACATAAAATTATGTAATTTTAAATTTTATATTATTATTATTATTTGTTGATGTCGATTTTCTATAGTATTTATTTAGGATTTAAAAATAAAAAATTAGAAAATGATAGATAACTTAATAAAATACGGTACAAAGTTTTCATTATGTATTCTTTGCAGTGTCAAAGGAGGTAAAATATAGTACGTTTTGGATACACTGGGGTTTGTAGTGAGAGAGTAGGAGGTGTGTCGACTACCATATTAACCACGTTGTAATGTCTGCCGCGTGCCACATATAGACATTCCCACACCTACATTTTATTTTATTTTTTGATATAACAATAAGACAAGAATTAGCTGGAGGTTTGAAGATCTCGCAGCAGCGTGGAAGATAACTCCCAATGTGGCTCTAAGAAAACAGTAACAACAATGGGGGCTCCTCGATTCAAAGCAGCCAGCCTATCCGCAACCATATTTTGCTCCCTAAATACATGTGATACCTTTATGATCCACTCAAGTTCGAGCAGCTCATGGATTTTAGTAACCAAAGCACTCTCCATAAGTGCAGCCGAAGAAAAAGTGCAGATCTTCATAACCTCTAGATTATCGGTTTCCAGTTCAATTTTTCGAATTCCTAGCCTCCAAGCATGCAACAAGAGATCATGAACACCCCACAACTCAGCGGTAAGAATCGAACACCTTCCTAGGCTACGCGTGAAACCAAAAATCCATTCTCCCTCAGAGTTGCGCAGAACACCTCCTGCAGCCGCCATATTATCACACGTTCTTACAGCCCCATCCGAATTTCCCTTAATCCAACCTGTGGGAGGCTGAATCCAAGACAAAATACTTCTAGATATCGATGGACTAGAATTAGTGGTGCTAACCTTAGCAATCACAATATCATCAACAAAGCGATCGCAACGATAAATGAACTCCTCTCTTTCCACATAATTTGGATCAAAGAGAATACTACATCTTCGTTTCCAAAGGTGCCAACAGTAAACAGAGAAGCGAATATCCCAATTATCATTCATTCGTGCATACACCTCAGTAGCCCTTAAGTTACGTTCAATCCAAATCTTGTAAGGAAGAGCCAAGAACTCTTTAAGCTTCTCAGGCTTGATAACCCTTACCCACAGATTCATAGTCATACTGCAATGACGCAAAATATGGGCAGCATCCTCCCTAACAGCCCCACAAATCTTACAATCCACTAGGCTAGAAAGGTGCCGACGAGATCGTTCAGCATTGGTAAGAATTCGATCATGGAATAATAGCCAAAGAAAAGTACGAATTCTTTGTGGAACTTCTAGCTTCCAAATCAAACTCCATAGAGGATGTTCCTTACTATTGTCAAGGCATGTGATTTCAGTATAGGCTGACCTTGTCGTGAAATTTCTATGGGGCTCCCATCTCCACCCGGGTGTATCAATACCCAAGTAATCTTGGGGTGGTTGGACAGCAACAATTCTTTGAAGTACATGTTCGGGGAGTAATGGCGAAAGCTTACCCCAATTCCACAAACCTAAAGGGAGAACCATATCGCTAACCGAGGTGGGTCTTGGTGTGCCTGCTCCTGTATAGAAGAATACAAGACGATTTTCAGTATCAAGCCAATGATCATACCAAAAATCTGTATCTCGCCCATCCCGTATGTTCCAAGCGATATTATCGTACAACTCACTCCAAATGTATCGTAATCCTTTCCACAAGCGGGAGCCATTAGTGTGATTTAATGAAACAGGAACAAGACTGCCCCATTTATATTTTCCACGAAGAGTGCGAACCCAAAGTTTCTCCGGATTGGTTATCAATTGGAAACCCACCTTCATCAAGAATGCCTTGTTTTGATTATATAGATTCCGAATACCCACACCTCCAATTTTTATTGGCTGCTGCATAGATTCCCATTTAACCAGGGGAATACCAGTACCACCATTATTCGAGCCCCAAACAAATCTTCGAATAATATTTTCCATTTCAATACACAAACTTTTTGGTATCCAAGTTGATTGCATCACATAGACCGGGATAGCCTGAAGTGTAGCCTTAGCAAGTGTTATACGACCTGCTAAAGTAAGACATTTCGCCGCCCAACCCGACAGTCGTTGATTCAATCTATCAATGAGATATGAGTATGTGGCTTTAGTGACTCTATTATGGAGTAACGGGACACCCATATATTTGCCAAGATCCTGAACCTCCTCAAAACCGAAACTTTGAGAAATAGTCTGACGAGTGCTTACTGGACAGTTACTTGAAAAGAAAATCTGAGTTTTAGCTGAGCTAATGCGATGTCCTGATTCATCACAAAACCTGTCCAAAACAGCCTTGATTATCGAAACTTGATCCAATGATGCTTTAGCAAACAACACTAAATCATCTGCGAAGAAGAGATGGGATAACCCAGGCCCCTCCTTTGAGAGATGAATCTCCTTCCAGTCATCCGAACCTACTTTCGCCTTTATAGCTTGAGACAGTCTCTCCATACATAAGACAAATAAATAAGGCGATAGTGGATCCCCCTGTCGAATACCCCTCGTAGGCTTAAAGGGATCCGTAAGATCCCCATTCCATAGAATCTGTGTCGACACAGATCTAACACAACACATGATACGAGAAATGAGTACTTCCGGTAAGCCAATTGCATGAAGAGTGTTCTCGATATAATTCCATTCCAGGCGATCATAAGCCTTCTCCAAATCCACCTTGATTGCCATACATCCTATTCTACCCTTCTTATTTGTCATCGAATGAATAACCTCCTGGGCAAGAATAATGTTATCTGTAATCTGGCGGCCTGGAACAAAACTAGCTTGACTTTCGTCCACCCATTTAGGAAGAAACGATTTCAATCGACATACAATCAGTTTAGTAATGGTCTTATAGAGAACATTACACAGACTAATAGGCCTAAACTGAGTAATTGAGACAGGATTATTAACCTTCGGGATTAACACCAACAGAGTCTGATTCACCCAATCAGCTAGATATCCATCTTTGAAAAATCGATCGATAAATCGGAATACCGACCCACCAATTGTGTTCCAATTCTTCTGAAAAAACGTTGCATGGATTCCATCCGTGCCCGGGGTTGCCCCTCCCAATATCAATAATAGGCATCATTCGCTCGCTCGTAAATAGTTTCTGGAAAAAATTAATTGCATGATCTTTGAGACGCACATGGTCACTACACCAAGAACCATCAGGCAACATCAATATACTAATTGTGTTGTACTTCCGACGGTTAATAGTCGATGCGTGAAAGAAAGAGGTATTCATATCCCCATTCGCGATCCAAGTGGTTCTAGCTTTTTGGTTCTACAAGCTTTCTTCTTGAGCGAGAACTACGTTCAACTTCTTTTTAAGCCTCGTCTCTAGATCTAGTAGAGCATGATCATTGGAATTATCCACTGCTTTTTCAACTTCATGGATTCGAGCAAGCAACAAATTCTTACGCCTCCCAATATGCCCAAACACCTCTTTATTCCACTTGGTACTTTGAGCTTGGAATTCAAGTATATTCTCATACAAGTCTCTATCATTTTTCCAAGAATTCATCAGTAAGTTTTGGAAATCTTGGTGATCACTCCAAGCATCAATGTATCGGAAAGGTCGATTATGGGAAGCCTCCTGCTGCTCCCCAAACTTAAGAAGTATGGGTCGATGATCCGAACCCAATTTTTGGAGGTGAAAGACATCAGAATTTTCAAAGTAATGATACCACTCAGCATTGCAAATACACCTATCCAGCCTTTGAGAAAGGGTTCTACGTTTCCAAGTGAACTTTGGACCTGAAAACCCCATATCAATCAACCCTGTATCGAACATAAATTCACCAAATTTTGCACAAACTCCATGGCGCCATTGAGAACCACCTTGTCGTTCACCATAATTACTAATAACATTAAAATCCCCACCAAGTAACCACGACAACCCCAATACTGGATCCAATTCTTTCAAATGCCTCCACAACCTGTTTCTAATCCCAATCGCAGGACTAGCATAAACAAACGTAATAAAGCATTGTTTTTCTCCATCCATCATTGAACACGCTACATGAATATATTGTCGTGAAACAGCCAGGATAGTAATATGAAAAGAATTCTTCCAAAGTATCCAAATGCCACCAGAAAACCCCGAAGCTTCAACACGATAGGAGAACTCAAAATCCGAGTTCTTTATAAATTGATCAACATCAATACCACTAATTCTTGGTTCCAAAATAGCAACAACATCCGATCTTTTAGACTTCATCAATAACTTAAAAATATCTATTGAAATCAGGGTCCCGAGCTCCCTGAACATTCCAAAAAATAACCTTAACCATAAGAAAAGGGGAAAAGAAGATGACATGAAGGATTAGACCTGCATATGTGCTTTCTCTAACTGTTCGAACATAGTGTTTGCACGCCATTGGACCATATCACCGTCACCATCTTTTGAACCTTGGATTTCTGTGGATGGATTCTCCAACGTAATACTTGTTTGGTTAAGTTCAGAGTCCATAGCCGAAATCCACTCAGCTAACACTGGTTTGCTCGACATCTTCGCATCTTTTTTCCTTGTCTTCAATCCCTTACGAGATAAACCTTTAACGGCATCAAGCCCTTGATTTTGGACTTTTGTATTGGTCCCTCAAGCAGTTCTTTGGAAAATGCCTAAGTTATGAACCTGTGGGGCTAAGTTCTCATCATTTTCCGTCACCCTTATAGCCACATGTTTGTCTTTATTCAGGGATGAATCAACACTTGTAATCTTGCCTATTGAAGCTACAACAATACTGTTTTTCGTTCGTTGTGGACCTGGTACATCACTTCTTTTTGGTTCAATAAAGTCTTTAGAAATTCGTCTTGCTTCCCCTTGTTTGCTAGATTCAGCACTACCACTTGTCTTGGCATATAAATGGCCATAAGAAGACATCGCTCCCTTATTATTAGTCCCCAACATAGATGGCTTTTGTATTGGGTTACTTCCTGGATTATCTTCGACTTGAATTTCCTGAAGGGCCTCAAAGCGAGAACCCGAATTATGAGCAGTGTTTTGTCTCCCTGAATCCGAGCTTGCATTCCTTTTGACCCCAGTGTTCTTCCTTCTCCTATTCACCACTTGCATCCAGGGACCATACATATCATTGGATTTCCCAATATTTTGTGCTTCTTTTACTTCACCATTATCAACATTAGTTGTTTTACCACAAAGTTCATGTGTGTCCATATTTTCCACAAGAATAACAAATAGTTGGTAATCCTTCATATTCGATTAGCTGTCGATGACCATCTATCACTATTCTAGAGATCAGTGGTTTGTCCAAATCAACAACAACCGCGAGTCGTGCAAAGCGACCTCTCTTCCTATTTTCCGTATTATAGTCGACCCTTACCACCTTACCGATAGCTCCTGCAATATGTCCAAAGAGACTACGTGTATAATAGCGATAGGGTAAACCTGGTAGCCTCACCCACACCATAATTTTCATTGGATATTCCATGGCGGTAGAGAATTGTCTACTCCATGGTTGAACGGTGAGATAGCTTCCATATATCATCCAATGACCTCCTGTCAATACATGAGAAAAATCCTCCTCACAAGCAAAGCGAACAAGATAATAATCATTGTCAAGATTAATGAGGCTAATTTCCCCTAAAAGATTCCATAGTGATTTGATCTTATTCAACAAGGTCTTATACCCAATTGTTTTCCATAGTAAGTGAATAACCACATAATTAGACAGTTTGGCATCAATAGCATCGTGAACTCTATCGGAAAAACTAATAGCAAGCAGCGGGCCATCAACACCCAAAACTACATCCTCAGGGCGAACATCCACATCGAAATCATTAATCGAAATGGGTTGGTTACCAATTAGATTTGGACCCCTTACCATATCACTAAAAGAAGGATGTCCGCTATTGAGCGTTCCAATTCCGTTCTCCATGTTCTTCGATCTAACATCCAGAGGATCACCCATGGGGGAATCAACTCCGTTAACGCCGGGATGATCGGGAGGGTGTTGAAGAGGTGGGTCTGTCATTCCGATTCCGCCATCAGGAGGCCGGCCACCATGGTCGCTGAATTGATCCATGACAGCAGGGGAGGCGAGATTCTGATCTATTGATCGACTAATCCAGATCGGGTACTGCAGAGGTAGGAGAGACCCTCCCAACCCAGCTTGCTCCGTTCGTAAACACCAGAGTTCAAACCCCTAACCTTGCTTAAGAAATCTAGTGCATCATCCCACTAGACCAACTAGTTATTGGTAATGATATTTTTATTTGTATCTTATATAATGCAAATGAGTAATACTTAGTACGTATTTAATATATATTTTTTAATAGTTTGGATAATTGCAAGATAATATTTATTCATTTTTTTGAATTAATTATTGATATCCAATTTATTGACCGACTAATCGAGATCGGATACTGCAGAGGCAAGGGTGAACCTTCCAAACTAGTTTGCTCTGTTTGCAAACACCAAGGTTCGAACCACTCACATTGCTTAAGGAATCTAGTGTCTCATATCACTAAACCAACAACCAATTGGTCTACAAACGCAATTGTTTGAACTCGGGATCTCTAAAAAAAAACTTTTTATTACAACTAAGAACTCTTGACAAGTTCTTAAAATATGAGTTTAAATGTTTTCATTTTTAATTTATTATTAGGTAAGTTACACCATGACCATTTAACTATGAGAGGGTTCTGTTCTAATTATTAATTTTTTATTTTTTTCAGTCAAACCACTTAACTATTTAAATGATACTAATGAAGTCACCTTCTGTTGACATTTGATGGGAGAGTTTAATTTGTTGTTAATACAATAGGTAAATTATACATTTAGTTTTAATTACTTACATATTCTATCAATTTGGTCCTAAATTAATTTTATACATATGTTTCTACAATTGACTCTATAAATATAGAGTGGGTTTTAACCTTCATGATTATGAGATAAATTTTTTCTATAAAGATATAATCATTTTGTAGAGATGTGTTTATAGGAATATTGAGAGAGTATTTTGGAATACATCAAATTTTAGAATACATGTCGTTGGATTATAATCTATAATTATAGGCACATATGTGTAATATATAATATAAGCATAAAATATGATACAAAATTAAGTGACCAATTATGTTATACAAGTTATACGATATTAGAAGTATCATGAAAATAAAAGCGTAGACAATATTAAAATTATATTTATAATTTAATAAGAGACAAAATTTTAAATACATAGAGTAAATCAATTATATACATATATTATGATGCCCAAGAAATATATCAACTTATATTTCTTTATCTCGTCAAAGAGCTCAAGAGAAATCTATCTTATTGGAATATCTTAACCTTAAGGTAATCTTCAAGATCTCAACCTTCTAGGTGATTTCCAACAATGAATTTAGGTACATTTTCGTAAATCCAGTATTTTATTCTTAATAATTTGATATGATAGATTCTAGTTAGATTTTATGTTTAATATATGAGATATAATGTATTTTTACTCTTTAAGATCTATATGTTTTATAGTGAATTATTATTCTTTTTCATCCGTTGAGCTAGGCAAGGTTGTTGTAAACATTTTGATGTTTCGATATAACATACCAAGTATAAATGAATTTTAAGATTTTACAAATGATTTTCTAAAGAATATTCGATACAATTATTCGAATATTCAAATTGTTACTCCAAGTCTTTCAAATGTCATTTTTAATCCTTACTCAAAGTGTAAAATTAAGTTTCAATCTTAAATAATCTCAAAACAATTTTATAAAGTATTTCGAATTTTTTCAAAGCCAAAAATTACAGTTTGTCCAGAGGGAACCGATTCCCCCCCAAGGGGATACCGATTCCCCCCTGAATGGTTTTGGCTCCGAGAAAAACCGATTACTCGGAGGGAATCGATTCCTCCCCAAGGGGATACCGATTCCCCCTGTATAACGGTCAAAATATTTGAATTTTACACTAAGAGAACCGATGCCCTATGAGGGGGTACCGATTCCCCCTACACTCCAAGCAGTTTTAATAATTGTTTTCACACTTAAACGACTCCATTGACTCCACTAATCATCCCCAACGTTCAAAATCAATTGAAGGAGTATTTAAACAAGCTTAGATATCATTGATCAACCACAAGAAACAACAATCAACAAGAATCAAGAGAGAATCAAAGAGAAAACATCAAACCTCAAGTTTGACCATTTTCAAGCCTATTTCATTCAATATTCATTTTTGCTTTCAAGAACACTTATTGTGCTCAATTGTATTATTCTTGAGTGTTCTTTCTTTGCTCTAGAATTGTGCAAACATTTTACCTTGTGAGGATTTTCTTGTAAGTTTGCAAAATTTGTATTGTTCTCTTTGGGAGAGAGTGTTCTCAAGAATTTGTGGTATAATTCTTGAGGGATTTGTAAGGTTACTCTTTGTCCTCAAAAGAAAGACAAATTAGTGAATTTGTGGAAAATCCTTAGTGTAGATAGCTAAGGTAGTGGACGTAGACTTTGGTTGAGAAAGTCGAACCATTCTAAATCGATGTGCAAATATTTTCAATTTTCTGCAAAAGCTTCCACGAAATTTTAATTGCCAATTCACCCTCTCTTGGCCAATTCCGTCGATCGATTAACTCAATAATTGGTACCAGAGCCTAACTCATTTGAAGGTTTAATAGCCTCTTGAGTCGATTCGGGAAGAGTTACATCGATATTCAAGTCATCAAATGGCTGGCGCTTCAAACTCCGACTTCGTTTTCGATTCAATGCCCGTCAACATGCCTAATTTCTTCAATGGATCTAACTATGCTTATTGGAAGAATATAATGATGTATTTCATTCAAGCAAGTGACATGGGAGCATGGAATGCCATATAAAATGGATACATCAAACCCTCCACTCACCCGAGATTATGGAGTGATGGAGAGACAAGAATGTTCCAGCTCAACTCCAAAGCCATCCATATCATTTTTTGTGCTCTTGGATCGGATGAATACGGGAGAGTTTCATCTTGTATAACCGCCAAGGAGATATGGGACAAACTAAAAGTCACTCATGAAGGCACAAACGAGGTAAAAGAATTTAAAATTAGTCTTTTAACTTATAGCTATCAAAATTTCAGGATGAAACCGGATGAAGATGTCAAAGCTATGAAGGATATATTCTCCACGATTTTCAATAGTCTCAAACCATATGGAGAAATTATTCCAAATGACAAGCTTGTAAGGAAGTTAGTTTACTCTCTTCCAAAAGCTTGGCAATCAAAGAAGACGACAATAATCGAGGCTAAGAATTTAAAATCCTTGACCCTCGATGAACTTATTGGTTCTCTCCTCACGCATGAAATGATGCTTAAAGAAGAGGAAGACCTTGAGAAAAGAGACAAGCCAAAGAAGGAGATGAAGAAGAAGAAGAACGTGAGAGTTGCTCTCAAATCAACAAAAGATGTGAGTGATTCGGAAGACGATGACGAGAAGATGGCATTGTTTGCTAAACGATTCAGAAAAATGATAAGGCCAAACTGAGGAAGAGAATTCAAATGAACTGAAGGCTTTA